TATCATATAAAAGTCGAGTGTGTGTGTGTGTGTGTGTGTGTGTGTGTATGTAAGAGAGAGAGAGAGAGAGAGAGAGAGAGAGAGAGCCCAGAGCCGAAGAGCCAGGGGGGCCTCTGGGCCTTGGCAGGGGTTTGAGATTGGGGATTAGTGGTTCACAGTTGCCCTCCATCCCTTCCCAGGAGAAGGTACCGAAATCTTGGGCTGTACTGGCTGGGGTCCTTCGCCATGAGCCTCCTGGTGTTCCTCCCAGGAAACATCCTTGGTAAGGACGCCACTCCTCCCTGAATCTGCAGGAGACCCCATACCACCTATTCTATGTGCCTCAGCCAGCAACTGAGATCCCTCTAACTCTCTTTTCTCAAGGAGGTGGCAGGGTGCCCCATCACAGTCCTGCAGTCCTGCTTCCTCCTCAGGCTATTAGCCCAAAAATGTCAGGGATTTTCCCAGAATGCTCTTGACCTAGGAAGGGAGTTTTAGGGTTGGTCCTGGGGACAGAGTGCAGGCTTGCTAAGTAGGTCTTAGGAGGTAAGGCAGAGATGACAATCCCAGTGTTGAGATGGCTCAGCAAATGGTGAGCAGAGGACATCCAGAGTAGGAGGTAAAGGCCCCCTGGAGTGTCAGGTCTGTGTGTATTCAGAAGGTAAACTGAGGTAGACCAACTTAAGGAGCATGATGGAGAGCCATAAAGGGTACAGGAGCTTGAGTGAGAATGTGTCCAGGTAGGGCTCCTGTATGGTCCAGCTACCATTAGGAGATCTTTGCTAAGAGACTGCTCTCTACCATGACAGGAAAATACAGTTCAGAGATTAGACCCACTTTCCTCCTCGCCATCCCGTACATGCTGGTCCCATGCTGGGCTGGCATGAGGATCTTCAACCAGTCCCAGGCACTAACTTCTTACACCCCCAACATGGTGAGTGCCCCCACCATGTGCAGTTGTGAATGGCTTTGGCTCAAAGGCTTTTCCTCAAGTCTGGTATGGTGGCCTATGCCTGTCATCCTGGTACTGGGGAGGGTGAGGCAGGAGCCAGCCTAGGCAACACAATGAGATCATCTGAAAACCCCAAGGACTTGGGTGTGGCCCAGCGTGAGAATAGGGGCATGGCTGAGGGTAGAGGGGTTGTGGGTGTGGCTGAGGGGTAGAGCAGCCTGTGCAAGGTCCTGGTTTCCATCCTTAGTACAACACTAAAATACTGTCTTCTTAGGAGAGCCTCCTTAGTTGTCGGGAAGACAGGGAGGTACATTTACTAAGCGCCTGCTGGGTTCCAGAACTCTCTGGCCAGCTCCTGCCCTCTCCCATGGAGCAGGTACAGGAGGAGCAGAGGAAAGGCCTTCTGAAGCGCCCGGCTGACCTGGCCCTCATCGTATACTTCATTCTTGCTGCATTTTTCACCCTCTTCCGGGGGCTGGTGAGTCTGCTCCGGCCAACCTCCCTCCTCCACCTCCAGCCTCCATGCACACCTTGGCTTCCCTCTTCAGTCTCCCAAATGTATTCCTTTATTAATTGTGGAAAGGACACTGCTCTTCTATCTGATCACTCAAGGAAGTTCTTCACCAAGTCTGACCTGAGTGTTTCATGAGAAAGTCCTCTTCCCTGTAGCTGTTTCTTCAGCCCTCTTATCTGTGAATCCTCAGCCAAAGGGAGAGAACCAGGGAGGACTGAGAGAACAGGGGGAGGGGTGTGGGCCCTCTTTGGGAGCTGGGTGGAGGGGCATCCTGTAAGAGGTGGTAATGGTTGTTTGTATATTGTAGGTGGTACTTGACTGCCCCACAGACGCTTGCTTTGTCTATATCTACCAGTACGAGCCGTACCTGCGGGACCCTGTGGCCTACCCAAAGTTGCAGGTGAGAGGACAGATGGGAGGAGGGGGCTGTGGTCCTGCCCCTGCTTTTTCAACCAGTTTCCAGGAGCCCAAGTCAGTGAGGCATATACACATGTGGTCTTCAGGTGTGGCTGGATCAAGGTACTCATGGATACCCATGTGTCTGGGCTGTGCTTTCTTGGCAAGGCTCCCCTGCCACTTGGAAGAGGGACTCCAGGTTTCTATCTACCTGGCTGGGTCACCCCAGGATTTAAGGATATGTCTCAGACAGACTTTGACTGGCCCAGCCCAAATCACATGCCCCTGCCAATCATTATAGCCTTGGGAATAGAGTTCCACTATGCTAGGCCAGGGTCCCACACCTTTTCCAGAGCTAAGTTGGCAGGTTCAGTGTGTATTGTGGGTTGAAGGGATCCCCTAGAGAAAGAGGAGCTGCTGCCCTGGGGGGCTCAGGAGACCAGGCTGCTGTTCTCACAGGCTGTGGTCTCCCCTAGATGTTGATATACCTATTCTACGCTCTGCCCTTCTACTGCCTGGCTGCCTATGCCCTCACTTTCCCTGGCTGTTCTTGGCTGCCGGACTGGGCCTTGGTGTTTGCTGGAGCCATCGGCCAGGTGAGTGGGTAATGGTGAACCCCAGGTCCACTGTCCCAGAATTCCCTAGTTTCAAGGAGACAGCCAGACAAATATAAGGTACCTTCTAGGTCACAGATAGCCCTGAGCCCCCTAGTTAGAACCAGAGAGAAGAGGGCTGGACTGCAGCTCAGTGCTTGTCTAGAATTTGCAAATATATATATGTTCCATCCCCAGCACTGAAAAATCAAACCAAACAAACAGCAACCTGGAGGGAAGGAGGACAGGGGTTGACAGAAATTGCAGAGGGAAAGCTTCTGATGTTTGGGGATGAGTTCTCTGTGTGGGGAAGGGCATCTAGGAATGGGAACAGCATAGAAGGCAGCAAGGGGGGCATCAGTTAGGCAGGCTGTAATGCAGAAGACAAAGTCAAGATGTTGGAATTTTGAACTCTGGGCTCTGAGACACATGCTGAGAGAGGCCATGAGCCACTGGTGGTGTATGAGCAGTGGAGGGCCCAGTGCTATTTCTGGATTCCTTGTGGGGGAAGAGAAAGCCTGAACCAGACAGGACAGGCAGGAAAATATCTCTAGGGGTCAAGAGCAGCTATGAGGAAAAAGAGCAGAAAAATTTAGAGCTAAACATTTTCTTTGGGAGGCCTGCGGAGGCCTGGGGGTGCTGGCCTGAGCTGCGTCCTCCCTACGTCCTCCGGCAGGCTCAGTTCTCACATATGGGTGCCTCCATGCACCTGCGCACAGCCTTTACCTACCGTGTGCCAGAGGACACCTGGGCCACCTTCTTCCTGAGCAACCTGCTGTTTGCACTGGGTCCACACCTGCTGGCCTTCCGCTGCCTGTGGCAGCCAGCCTTCTTCCTGCGGGTGCCTCACTCTGAACCTCAGGCCCATGGCAAGAAGCAGCAGTGAGCATGTGCAGCTCTTGGCTGGGGACTCTGCTTACTTGCACCGACTGCCCTGCCCTCCAAGGGTGGGTTGGCACTTTGAGTGGCTGGAAGGACGTCTGGAGGTGGAGAGGATTGCAGTCCGGGCCAGTAGGCGTGGGAAACTCACTACAAGGTGTTCCTGCAAAGAGAGCCTCATGCTGGGTCACCACCCCCAAGGCTACAAGGGACTTTGAACCCTCTCCCGGAGTTTACCCATCATTCCCCCATGGATCCTCTTAATAAAGCCCTTTTGGTGTGTAGAATGTCACCACCTCAGTGTTTCATGGGCAAAGGACTGACTTCTTGTACTCCATGACGCTGACTGCCACTGAGGTGGTCTGGAGTTGGAGGTGCCAGAGTGGCCTGGACAACTTCACCTTCCAGAATCAAAAACTGAAGCTCAGAAGGGTTGAGGGTGCTTAAAGTCATATTCAGAAAGAAAAGTCAGCTGGGCATGATGAAGCAGGACTGTCACCCCAGCACTCCAGAGGTCAGGAAGTGGAAGCAGGAGGCTCAGAGTTCAAGGTCATTCTTGAACACACAGGAAGTTGGAGGCTAGCCTGGGCTACACTGTCTTACACCTTGCCCCTCAACCCCCCAAAAAAGGTCAGGGCGATAGATCAGTCACTAAAGTGCTTGCCACACAAGCATGAGGACCTGAGTTCAGAGTCCCGACCCACAGAAAATCCAGGGACTGTGGGACAGGCCTGTAACCCAGCACTGGGATACAGATGTAGACACAGGAGAATCCCAGTTCACTGGCCATCCTAATCTAGCTAAATCAGTGAACTCCAGGTTCAATGAGAGACACTGACCCCCAAAAATAAGGTGGAGGCAGACATGGTGGCACATGCCATTCAAGAGGTAGAAGCAAGTGAATCTCTTGTGAGTTTGAGGCCAGCTTGGTCTGTGTAGTAAGTTTCAGGTCAGTCAAGGCTACACGGTGAGATCCAGTCTCAAAGCAAAACAAAACAAAACCTACAAAAACAATAAAAAAAATAAGGTGGACAGCTATTGAGGAAGACACCTGATACTGACCTCTGGTCCCCCATACCCACTGGATATACCCATACACCACACATATACACATAAAGTTCAGTATAACTAATAGAACGGTGCAGTTATTAGGTGCCTATTGAATACCATGACAAGTGTTACTGCTGGATCACCATATTCCAGATGGGAGAGTTGACACTGCAAGGAAGTGAAGGTTCTAGCCCAAGGTCACCCCTGCTGGGCACAGTTGAGCCAGGAACTGAGCCCCAGCCTAACTTGGGCTCACTATGGAGGGAAACTGAGATTAGGGACACAGTAAGGGGCTGCAGAAGGGTTCTGTATTTCCTGATTTGTGAAATTGGTAACTGAGCGAAGAGCCAGGTTTAAGGATGATTGGGGCCCAGTAGAGACCAGAGACTTGGTTGGAAATCTCTTTTCGTGGCAGGGACCAACCAGGACCCCATGCAGGTCCAGCCAGAGCGGTTAGTGCTGAATTGCCTGGAGACCCAAGCAGTCTGAGAGGCCACTGGTCTCCCAGAGTCCCATGACCAGTGAGGGCAGAGTGGGCCTTGACTCTGCTTCTCTGGGACACTATGCCAGAATGTGATTTTTGGAGGACCCCATCCCTCCAGTACCAGAGCCCAGGAATCCAGGATAATTGTTTAGTGAGCAGATGGGTAAACTGAGAGCCTCCAGGTCAAGCCCTTAATCAAATCACCCTGCTCCTGCCAGCTCAGAGAAGACTCACATCCATCAGCCCTCCTACTTAATTTTAGAAAATATTTTATTATTATTGAGCTGGGCGTGGTGGCGCATGCCTTTAATCCCAGCATTTGGGAGGCAGGGCCAGGCGGATCTCTGTGAGTTCAAGGCCAGCCTGGTCTACATAGTGAGTTCCAGGACAGTTGGGGCTACAGAGAGACCCTGTCTCAAAAAGAACAAAAAATTTTTTTATTATTATTGTATGTGTATGAGTGTATTGCCTGCATGTATGTAAGTTCAATGGTCTGGTGCAGTGCCTGCAGAGGCCAAAAGAGGGTGTTGGAGCTCCTGCACTGGAGTTATAGACAGTTGTTAGCTGCCATGTGGGTGCTGGGATTTGAACCCCAGTCCTCTGCAAGAGCAGTCAATGCTCTTAACCCCTGAGCCATCTCTCCAGCCCCCACTTAATTTTTAAAAATTGATACATGGCCTCCCTATAGGCTAGCTTCAAACTCACTATCCTGACTCAGCCTCCAGGGAGCTGGGATTACAGGCCACCACCACACCTAACTTTTCCCCACTCCTTTTTTTTTTTCATGCCAGGCTGGCCTTGAACTCCATTTGTAGCAGGTGACTTTGAACTTCTGATCCTTCCCCTCCTCCTCCCAAGTATTGACATAGCAGACCTGCAACGCCACCCTAAAATGGAGTGGGAAGAGTGGGGCTGATGGACTTGAATCTTTCCCCACGCTGACAGGAGCAGGGTGACTTGGTTAAGGGCCTTGGCCTGCGATCCTCAGTTTACCCATCAGCTCACTGGGCGACTATCCTGGATTCCTGGGCTCCAGCACGCCTGTCATCCCAGATGTGGACTGGGGAGGGAATTCCATTTTATAGTATGTGTCCAAACTTAGGCCAGTGAGGTTCCTCCACTAGCCCAAGGTCGCCCGCCCTAGTCCAGTGGGCTCCAGGATCCACCGCGCCTGGGCTTCCTTCCCGCGATGCGCACGCGCTGCCCCTTTAACGCCCCGCCCTCTCTCCTCTCCTTGCAGGCAGACGACGGGATTGCACCTCAGGCCAGACCTGCCGGGGCAGCCCTCTGTGCGCGTGCGCAGTAAAGACGCGCACTGGCCGCTACGCGGGGGCCGCCGGCAGGATGGTGAGTGTCGCGCAGAGCTGGGTTCCTGCGTCTCGCATTTGTCTCCGTCTCTCTCTGCCTCTCTCCACCCTCTCCTCTGCCTCTCACCTCTCTCTTTCTTAGGCACTTTCCCTTTCTCTGCCCGCAACGTCTCCCCCTTTTTGGGCGGGGGAGGTATTCTCTTTCTTTGTCCCCCGTCTCTCCTCCCAGTCTCTCCCCCTAGTCTTTCCTTCCTCTGTCTCTGTGTCTCTGTCTCTCCGTTTCTGTGTCTCTCAGTCTCTGCATCCGTCTCTGTCTCTGTCTCTGCCTTTGTCCTTGAGTCTGTCTCTGAATCTCTGTCTCTGAGTCTCTGTGCATCTCTGCCTCAGACTCTTTGTCTCTGAGTCTCTGTCTCTGGGTCTCTGTATCTCTAATCTCCGTTTGAGTCTGTCTTTGTGTCTCTAGTCTCCGTCTCTGAGTGTCTCTGAGTCTGAGTCTCTGTCTCTGCATCTCTCTGTCTTTGCATCTGTCTCTCCGCCTCTGTCTCTGCATGTCTCTCTCCCGCTGTGTCTCTGTCTCTCGGGTCCTCCTCGCTCAGTGGCCGGGTGTTCCCCTCCCCCCGCGCCTGTCCCACTGTCCCCAGCCCCCGCTGCCCCGTTTGCTGCAGTCTCCTGGCGCACAGATAAACTTGCCGCGGCGGCGCACGCTGCTCCCCATCCCTTGCGCTCCAGTGGCGGGGGCGGGGACTCGGGGACCGCGGCGACAGGCACCCGGGGAGGGCGGGAGGAGCCTCCTGCCCCTCCCGCAGCTCCGCAGACCCCAGCCGGGCTAGGACCACTTTACGGAGCCGCGGCAGCAGGACTGGACGCAGCTCCTGTGCCCGCAGGCGTGCGCTCGGGCGGCCCTCGGTCCCCGCGCGCTCTGGGCTGCGGCATGGGGACTCCTGCTGCTGGTCGGCGTGCCCGCTGGGGCGCAGCGCGGGCGGAAGAAGGTCGTGCACGTGCTGGGTGAGTCCGTGCCGCGCGCGCACTCTGGTCGCGCAGGAGCGGTGGCTAAGAGTGACCGTACGGGGCCGGAGCGGGCGCGGGACATGGGGCTTGATGGGTGGCTGTGGTCCCCTACTCTCAGGCCCCTAGCGTCCCTTTGCCCATCCTCCACCCACGTTCCCTTCCCGGGTCCCTATCTCCCCCTTGACCCTGCTCGGTCGCCCCGCAGAAGGCGAGTCGGGCTCGGTGGTGGTGCAGACCGCACCGGGGCAGGTGGTGAGTCACCGCGGTGGCACCATCGTCTTGCCCTGCCGTTACCGCTACGAGGCGGCCGCCCACGGCCATGACGGCGTCCGCCTCAAGTGGACGAAGGTGGTAGACCCTTTGGCCTTCGCGGATGTCTTCGTGGCCCTGGGTCCCCAGCAACGGGCTTTCGGCAGCTACAGAGGCCGGGCAGAACTGCAGAACGACGGGCCTGGGGACGCTTCCCTGGTCCTCCGAAATGTCACCCTGCAGGACTACGGGCGCTATGAATGCGAGGTCACCAATGAGCTGGAAGATGATGCTGGCATGGTCAAGCTGGACCTGGAAGGTGACCAAACATGGGCAGAAGATATAAGGGCTGAGGGGACAGCTAAGAACAAACCCAATCAAACTGACTGGCTTAGAGAAATGTAGAGATTTTTGTGGGGCAGAGGAATAGTTTTTTTTTTTTATTTTAAGATTTATTATTTATTTGTGTGTCTATGGGAATGTATGTGTGCATGCCTGTGGAGGCCAGAGAGAGAGTCAGACCACCTGGGAACTGGAGTTACAAGTGGTTGTGAGCTGCCTGCTGTGGGTGTTGGGAACAACTTCTGGTCCTCTGGAAGAGAAACAAGCACTCCGTTTTTTTGTTTTTTTTTTTTTTTTTTTTTTTTTTTTTTTTTTTTTTTTTTACTGTCTTTTTTGAGACAGGGTCTCCCTGTAGCCCAAGCTGGTCTGGAACTCACTATGTAGATCAGGCTGGCCTTGAACTCACCTGTCCCTGCCTCATGAGTGCTGAGAGCCAGAGCTCTCCTAAGTTTGTTGTTTGATTGTTTGTTTGTTTGAGATTCCAGAAAAGATTTCAAGCCTTTCACTTACTGAATTTTGTGAACATTAAAAGAAATTTTTTTAGGTTTATCGTGGGGAGAGGGTGTATGCACCATGGTGCTTGTGTGGAAGTCAGAGAACAATTTATGAAAACTGCTTCTCTCCTTCCACCATGTGGGTCCTTGGGTTGGAACTCATCAGGCTTAGTGCAGATGCCCTTACCTGCAGAGCCATCTCATTGCCCTCTCTGAACAGTTTAATAATGACAAATAATAACAGCTGTCCTTTGCTAGGTGCTTTCTGTTTGCCAGCCACCTAGCCAAAGGGCTCACAGGAACTTCTCACTTAGTTTTCTCAAATCCCCAAGAGCAATAGCACTTAACCAGGAGGCTGAGGCTGTAGCAATGGCTCAGTGACTAAGAGCGCGTACTACTCTTCCAGAGGACCTGGACTCTGTTCCCAGCACCCACATCAGGAGGCTCACAACTGCCTATATCTCTAGCTCAGGAGGATCCAACACCCTGTCCTGCACATAATACACGTGAACTCATGTAGGCACACATGTACATAAATGAATAAATCTTAAAAATAAAATAGCAGATGGGCCTGGTTTCAAGAAGGCTATTTTGTTGTCCTGGACATCTGTGAATGAGAGGCCCAGCCAGGATTCCATCTCCTATCTGCCAGGCTCTGGGCCTTCACCCTGCTCAGAGCATGTACCTCAGCCCAAACCCTGTCCTTAAGTACAGTGTCTGTGAGTCCTCCATGACCAACCTTCCAGAAGCTCCCAGTGTGGAGACATTCTGCCCTAGAAACTGTTCCAGCTATGTAAGCCTTGTGGATTCAGTGCTAGAAGGCTGGCAGACAAAGACTGATAAGAGTGTTGGGTTTTTGAAGGATGACTACACGTTTGGCACATGGAAAACCATAGAAAAACACGAGCAAAGATCTCCAAGAGATGTAGATATGATAAAGTATGTTAAAGAGGAGGGACAAGTCCCAAGCTTAAGTCAAAAGGACCCATGGTGCGGTGTAGCTGGGCAGAAATGTGGCCAGGTCTGAGGGCCAGAGAGAGGAATGGACTGGAAGGTCCTGATTGATGTCAGGTGTATAAGAAACTAGGGGATCCTGACTGACTCCCATTCTTTTCCTCCAGGTGTGGTCTTCCCCTATCATCCGCGTAGAGGCCGCTATAAGCTGACCTTTGCAGAGGCGCAGCGCGCATGCGCCGAGCAGGATGGTATTCTAGCTTCTGCCGAGCAACTGCACGCGGCGTGGCGCGATGGCCTAGACTGGTGCAATGCTGGCTGGCTCCGAGATGGCTCCGTGCAATATCCAGTGAGCCGGGCCCGGGAGCCCTGTGGTGGTACTGGGAGCCCTGGGGCTGGCGGCGCCACCAATGGGGGCGTGCGGAACTATGGATATCGCCATAACGCTGAGGAACGCTATGATGCCTTCTGCTTCACGTCCAACCTCCCGGGTGAGAATGCCCTTCTCTGAAAGAAACCAGTTTCACGTGCTTGGATGCCGCCTCCTGGAGGGAGTCCAGCCTCAAATGCATAGGCCTCGGTTCTCTGAGCTTGGTCCCACCCCTAAATGCATAGGCTCCGCCCCCTAAGGGAAATCCCTTTCCCTAGGAGGAAGCCCACTTCTCAAGATCAAAAAACCCTTCCCTGAGGGGACACCTGTCCCAAGTGCAGTGCACAGGTCCTGACTCCTGGAGTGTGGCCCCACCCCTAAGTGCATAGGCACCAGTCCATCGAGCCCCCCCCCCGCCCCGTACCCCAAGCATATATACTCCTCTCCCTTGAAGAATACCTGCCCTGATTGCATAGGGCCTGCCAGATGGCGGGAGGTGCACCTCTGATAGCTAGACCTTGCTCCCAAAGCATAGGCCCCATCCCTAAGGGCATAGGCTCCTCCCCTTTGAGGGAATTCCCCCACCCCATATAGGACCCGCCCCTTGGGCCTGCCTCCTGGAGGGAAAAGAGGTCCAGTGCCAGTGCTTCGATCCAGCATCCAAGCATGTAGGACCAAGTCTCAGAGCACAGGCACGCCCCTGCAGGGAGGCCTGTCCTAGGAACATAGGGCCTGCCCCATGGGCGCCTGCCCCAGAAAACACATGTGGGCCCTGTGCCAGTGCTGCCGCCTCACTGCCTCTACCTAGTCCTCGGGAGCAGCTACCAAGGCTGCATTCCAGGGCGGCCACAGGGGGGCAGTGAAATGCCACTTGGCGCCAGCGACGCCCTGATGGAAGCTGAGGTTCCAGGTAGCAGGGAATGAGGTGTCCCTGGATTCTGAGCCGGGAGCCCCGGGCTGTAGGAGCGTGGGGTAGGCGGATCACGGGTACAGTGCTCACACCCTCCCTGGTCCCGCAGGCCGTGTGTTCTTTCTGAAGCCACTGAGGCCCGTGGCGCTGGCTGGGGCAGCACGCGCTTGCGCTGCTCGGGGCGCAGCGGTGGCCAAGGTCGGGCAGCTGTTCGCCGCTTGGAAGCTGCAGCTGCTGGACCGATGCACGGCGGGCTGGCTGGCGGACGGCAGCGCCCGCTACCCCATCGTGAACCCAAGAGAGCGCTGTGGAGGCCCGAGGCCCGGAGTGCGCAGTCTCGGTTTCCCCGACGCCTCCCGTCGGCTCTTCGGGGTCTACTGCTATCGCGCGCCTGGTGCACCAGACCCGGCTCCTGGCGGCTGGGGCTGGGGCTGGGCAGGCGGGGGCGGCTGGGCTGGAGGTGCACGAGACCCGGCAGCCTGGACTCCACTTCGCGTCTAGGACCTCGGAGGATGCACAGCTGGGGGTGTTAGCGGCTGATCTAGGGGTTCTGTGCATCCCCTGCAAACAGACCATACACCCTAGGTCTCCTGGACAAGTTACACACCCCTGTGGTGCGCTTTGGGCAGACCTAGTCTCTGTGGTCCTCGGACACTGATCCCCGCCCCCCCCCCCCCCCCCC